GAGAGAGAGAGAGAGAGGGGGAAAGAGGAAAAGAAAGAGGGTGGGAGGTTAAATTGATTGACATGAATGAATTTTTTTTTAATTGAAAATCAAAAAAAAAAGCACAAAAAGATGAAAGAAATTGAAAAACAAATTGAGCAGAAAGCGAAATGAATGGAAAAAATAAAATAAAATATTTTATTTATCTCTCTTCAAACTATCTATTTAGTGGAGATAATTTAATTAATATAGCAATTATTCTGCATTTCTTTCATGTTATCCTACATTCTTTTAATTCTATCAAGCAAATATGGCTAATGATGGATCAGGTAGGTAAATGAGTGATCCTGTAATATTTGAGGAATTTGATTCGACTCAATTTCAACCCATACCTGAAGCCATTTTTAACTGAAATGGCATAAAGAAAGTGATAGATAAGTTCAGAAAGAATATATGATAATGTCATTTGTTATCAGTATTAACGAATGGAAATCCTTTCATTCAGAAGTACATTCTCTTTCTACTTCACAAATTTGCAATAATATCATGGTAAGATTAAAAGTAAATCAGAGTAATTTGTTTTTTCTGTTTCTTTTTTTTTTTGCTCAAAGCTATAGATTTTAATTTAAATTCTGTGCAGAATTAGTAATATTATGAAATTCAAAAAATCTTTTGTTTTCCAAAGTGATTGATTGACACAATTATTATTAGTATTAATTATCAAAAATTGGAAAACATTTACATTAGTATTTCATAGAGACTTTAAGCAAAATTTTAGTTGCCAACTATTTTGATTTATCGTTAAAATTTAAAGTGCTTTGTCCTATTTAATATCCCTATTTTTTTTTTTTTTTTTTGAATGATACAGTTTTGCTGACGTTGAATAGAAGTGTAAAAACAAAAAATAATCCTTTTGCTTATTCCTCTCGGTCCTCCAATAAGCTATGATTTTATGTCAACCAAATTGCTTTATGAGAATAAGGAGAAAATCTCATAAAAATCCCAATCGTTGAAACACCTCAATTATTTCCATAATTAGCGCGGAGAAACGGAGAGGAGAAGCGCAACTGTGTTCATTTCGTAATAACTTTCGTTGTAGTTGTCACTATTAACTGATGTAAAACCCATAACTGCACAAATCTAATCTACGCTAATTGTCAAATAAGTCCATCGGGAAATGTTTGATGATATTTTTAACAGGTAGAATTATAACAAAAATGGATCTATACAGCTTATAGCTTATAGCTTATAGCTATTATTCGAAATTAAAAGAATACATATATCATATTAGTGATTTAGTGTTATTTCATTCATATTCTTCTTTTCATTGTGCTTAATTGTAGTTGTATCGTTGGATGTGGCACAAATTATGAGACAATTATAAATATATGATGTCATTTATATCGTCGACGACATATGATGGATATTTGAGGAATGTGTGTATCCACGTTTACGTTCTGATCAAAATCTTCAGTCTAATTAGAATTCCATTATTCATTTCAATCTGACATTTGTTCCCGAGATGAAATTAACTAGAACGAAAGGTAGAGACAAGTAATTTTTCTCCCTGAACAGCGCTTATTAATGTATGAAATAAAAAAGAGATTTGAGAAGCAAAAATTGAAAATTTAGTAAATAACTCGAATTAAAGAAAAAAACAAGTCAAACTATGAGTAATTAATAATAAATTAACATACTGATAAGAGAGATATTGTTACGATAAGAATCGTCAAGCAGGGAATAGATGAGAGTAAATAAAATGAATTTATCTTGTTTATTATTCAATCTTAGTAAATGCACAGCTCATAGCAATGTGACAAATAATATGTTACTGAATTTTCAGTCATCCTTCCCTTGCTTGAACTAAAAAAGAAATTTTTGAGAGATCTTGTAGCTGATTTTTTTCTTTTTTCAAAAAGAGTTTCTTGCAAATTTTTTTCCTTTTTAAAAAAACTTCTTTCTCGAAGATTTTGTCGCTGATTTTTGCAAACTAATTTTTCTAAAACAAAGTTTCTGAACTGACAATAGCCATATGAAATAGTTACTGACGATTATAATAAAAGTGATTCACCATGTTTTAAATCAAAAAAAAAATTGATGCAAAGCATAAATAGTTCACTTTTTGAACTTAATTTTTCACAAGCTTTTTTTCAACAAGAACAAACGTGCAATTGAAAAGAGTTTTATACAGATTAAGCGCAAATGGCACAATATTTGCGGGTTTTATTAATATGCATATAACATTTTAAAAAAATGGATACAATTATTTTTAGTTATATAACAAAGAAACAGCGGAAATGTTATAATGACAGTTGAAAGTTGATAACTTTTCCTCCACTTATCAGAAAATATGGGTGTGTATCAGTTCTTGAAGATCGATTCTATCAATTCATCAATCCAAAATGATTCAATTCATTTCGAATTATTTATTATAGTCACATCTATGCATCAAAGAGTTATGTTTTAAAAAAGACAGACTAATTTTAAAATCTTTATGTACATGCTGAAAGTGACAAATATTCAGTAATTTACAAAAAGATAAATTTTCATTACGATGAGATTGTTTTGATTTTGATTTGAATTAGAATTTCTTTTTTTTGTGTCCCCATTACATAATATAATGATTGGAAAAGTGATTTAAAGAAGTAAAAGATAGATGAAAAATGATAGGTTAATAAAACTGTGATAGAATGTGGTAGCAATTATCTTGGTCCATTAGATAGATCCATTTGTATGCTTTCAACTATTGGAATACTTTAATGCTTGCTTAATGCTACCATCTTATTTGAGGCTTTCAAGTGAATTAAATTTGAAAATGGCTAGGAAGTGAATGTTGCAAATGTTTGAATTCTCACAAATGACGCGAATTAATTCTCATTTCAAATAATTATCTGAAATTAAAAATGGTTATTCAGGATCATAAATGATTATCCGGAATCGTGGATGATTATCCGGAACCATGGATGATTATCCGGAACCATAAATGATTATCCGGAATCATAAATAATTATCTAAAACAACATATAAAAGTTATTTGCTTGACATTGTCAACGGATGGAACTTTTGCAAATGAAGTAATTTACTTTATTGGATACACTTTAACTCTTTTCTTTCACATTTTGGGCGTTTTTTCCTTTTTTGTCTGGATGTATTTATGTGTATGTCTGTCTGTCTACGTGTCTGCATGTCTACATGTGTGTGTGTGTGTGTGTGTGTGTGTGTGTGTGTCTGTATGTGTACATTTTATTCGATCTAAATGTCAATGTCAACTACTTTAAAAAAAGAATAAAAACCGGAAATTATTATCCTAATTTTTGTTGAAAACATTACAGTAATTGTATGCAAATTGCGCCATTAAACAAAAAGAAAAAATATTTATGCAATAATTTTCAACTTGTCCATTTAGCGGCTTAATTATAGAAATTCAATAAATTAATTGCCAAAATGACAACACACTTTTGAAGGGTATTATGGAAAATTTAGCGAAAAGGAATAGGAATGATTGGGAAGACGCATAAATCCTGAAAGATGTAATCAAGTCAACACGAAGCTACACCCCATAATGACCGGAAAAGACTATCAATTGTGTTAGGCATGCAGTCCTAAATGCTTCATTCTTGATACGGAAGTGAAAAAAACTTTGGAACGGTAGTTGTCAATGGTATACAATAGCTAAAATTGATTGTAATCATGCACTGAAATTGTATTGAAAACAAAAATAAAATGAAAGATTTAGGAAAGAAATTTTAAAAATGACTCGTATTTGGGTAAACTTCTTCTTTCACTTTTTCAATACAACATTGGTTGGTTCTGCATCTTATCCACTTACACTGACTAAACCAGTGCAAGAATATACGTCAATACGTGGGCGTGCGGTAGATTTGCTAAACAAATTTTAAGGAACTCTGGAAATTTCAAAGCATCTCAAGACGGAAGCGGCTTATAGAGAATAGGAAGCTATGGGAAAAGGGATTTAAATGATCGATTAAATGACATTTAAGATAAACACTTGACATGATGGATTCAGTTAAATTGATCCAATCAATTTGATTGGCTTCCCAATTTTTAATCATATTTCTTTACTAATCGTCTCTTTACTGTTTCTTATTGGTTTTGGCCAATATATGGTATATCTTCAGAACAATTTGTTGGCATTTCCTTCAGGCTACTGCCAATTTATGCCTTTTTTTCAGACAATACTTACTAATTATTTCATATATTTCTTAATTTTCGATTTCATATTATCAAGTTCGGCAGTTAATTAATGAAATTTGCTTACTTAAAAACTCTATTCTTTTCAACTATTTTTCAATTATGTAATCAAATTTCGCCATCATTGCTGGATTATTCGGAAGCTATAGAAAGTTTCAGTCTATTCTTTTCCCAATTTTGTCAATTCAAGAATTATTCAGGTATTGCTAAGGATGTTGCGGAAGTGATTTCGAAGGTGAGAAGAAGTGTGAAGGTATGACAATGCTTTATCTTTCTCTTCCCATTCAACTTGATCATTTTGAAGTTCGACTTTTTTTTCTACAGGAAGTATATTTACTAACTTGGCACAAATCTTGCTAGCAATCATTAGGCTGATAGAGAAGGCTTCACGGGAAAAGTTTCCAAACGATCCTTGGCATCGTTTATACCTCACATTTTACCATCACTGATACTCTAGTTATGGGAAATTAAATATTTAAATAAGTCACATCAGCAAAAAATTTTCCACGGAGCTAATTGATCCATCACTTTCTTCGTGAAAGTATCAGTGATAGCTTAGTTGGAATTTCATAAAAAAAACGCCCTTATATGTGAGCATTTAATTAAAGACTTTTAAAATTCAAGTTAGGATATATTTATATAATTTTAGACAAAGAATTTAAATAAAAAAATAATCCAAGGCAATAAGAAATAAAATTACACACAAGAATGCGAATAAGAAAGAGCAAAAAGGGATGACAAACAAAAGTGACTACATATTGATGGCATCTGTAACGGATTAACTGAAGGAAATTGATTGAATTTGGATACTTCCCACAATTCATTTATGAAACACTCATCTAAATCATCTCATTGATCAACAAAAAATTTCGTCACAGTTCCATCTCAGCATTTCATGCGGAATATACTCTCATGAAATAGAGATATGGTATCGTTGATGATAGTCACTCTTATTTGAAAGCACAATTGTTTCCTTAAAAGTTCTTATCTGCAAGCATCCAGAGAAAATCTTTCAAGATTTTTCGCTGGAAAGTTTTTCTTATTCAAAATTAATTCAGTGGTCTAGTTTGGGCTGTCCAAACATTTCAAACAATTAGTCGCTTTACTTTCTGAAGTGAAAATGTATTTTTCTTTTAAAAATTTAATGATATTCAAATGTTTAAAAGCTAAATAACTTTGTTAAAATTAGTATTTCTGATGGAAAAAGGGGAGAAATGTTTGAAGTTTCGTTTGCACTTATCAAAGACATTAAATGAATTATTGTCAAAGACAACAGAGTATTAGTCAAAAATGTTCACTACAGTTCCTGATGGATATGGAATTGATAGATGTTGAAATCCGGATGGATAAATCCGGATGGATGAATCCGAATCAACATAGATTCTTTCTTACCCTCGTTAAAAATTTAACATATTCGTGTACTAAAATGTTTGAAAAAGGTAATTCTGTGATTGTGTATTATCTGAAATTCAATTATGCAAAATTTCTCGAAATGAAAGTCAAAATTCACCAAAAAATCCGTCGTTTTGATAATCGAAAGTGTCATACGCTTCTTTGTGATGACACTATTAATACCATCAACAACGGAATCCCATACATCAAATTCGGGACTGTTACCAGTATTACTAACAACTTGAGTGAGAGTAACGAACATCCAATAACAATGCAATACATGAAGGAAAATTAAACTCCTGCTGTATCTAAATATTGTTTTTCAAATCAGATCAACTAATACTGCAGCAATTTAACGATTGATATATCTTTTACAAGCAGTTTATTGATTGAAATTAAGTTAAAACTAGATTTAATGACAATTTGAAAATATACGAAGATAGTTGGAAATGCAATCAATCATTTGCCGAATGGTAAATGACGACGAATGATGTCAACTGCTGTTGATGACGAGTGAGGAAACACATAGTACTATGTGATTAAGATGTGTGAAATAATTTGTTTCCACCCAAAATATTCGATAGGTATTTACTTTTAAAGTAGAATGTACCTTTTGATATGGCTGGTTGAATCCCACTGAACAGATCATACTTGGAATGGAAATAATTAGAGTGAAGTTATTGAGACAATATTCCTCATCCCATTAACTTTACAGTAATAAACCATTCTATTCGTTCATCAAAAATATTTTAAATCATATTTGATAAATACCTAACTATTGATAAAATTTGATAGCCATGAAGAAACTTCATAATTTATAAATAGTGTTGATGTTGAGTACTTACGTGCATTCGATGGCTATAGAAAACGTCATCTAGGAGGAAACGACAATTTATGCAACAATGCGCTGAAATGTAAAAAGTGACTTAGTACTTCAGGCTCTCGTCATTCATCATTGAATGGTAATCAGTTACAAATGATAGAAATACATCCAACCCATTACTATCGATTACGAACAAAGAAGAATAAAAGATAGGAAGCGGGACATTTCCGCAAGTGAAGTTGGCGAATTCCCAGTAAGGAAAGGAATAAATGAACTTCGCCAAAATAATATTAAATAAACTTTTCTGCAAGTGGAATCACAAGCAAACATCCGGACGATAAACTTGATGAAGCAATCGTTGGGAAAGCCATTTCTTTTCTATCCTTCTTAAACTTTTGCAACGAGAATCCGATTATTCAGTTTTTGTGGTGGTATGTCTTCATTCCGGAAACGGTTTTGTATGGACTCCTTAAGTGGGCTTCACGACAGTAGCATCAAGAATTTTTTCGTAACAGGCCTAACTGAGGATTGTGAATATGTATCTGTGTTTCTAGGGTTAAATCGATAATCTAGTAATTATTGAAATTTTTGTGCATTGCTATTTCCTAACTTTGGGAATAAACAGTGGAACTTTTGTAATAATATGTTTATATGCGCAGCAATTCTGAAATTTAAAAATCCATTGAAAATAAAAATTAGTGCAAAAGTTTTGCAATGGATTGAAAAATTTCTTGCTTCATATTTGAAATGGCATTTCATCCAAGAGATGGCATTTTAACTTTTAACATCTTTCTAAGTTTCAACTTTAAATATTACTTTGGCAAATTCCCTTGTAATTATGGATCGTCAGGTGTTATGAAAACTTCGGCTCAGTTATTAAGCTTGAATCCAACTAATTCTAATAGATAAATGAAGATTCTGATGTCTTGATATTTTCGTTTATAAACCTAACTTAAGACTCAGACATAGGTAATGAAATATTCAGCGTAATAGTAAAAACTTTAAAAGATCCATTACCAAATTAACGGAGAGTGAAAGTAAAAACAATGATATGACAATGAGATATTTTCGAAGGTGAAAGAGAAAAGTCTCAAAGAATCCAACGATTAATTCTTTTTGTGAGCTAATTTGCATAGGAAGAAAAAAGGTATAATTTGGTAATTTAAGAAAGGTTTTGAAAAACTCTCAAATCTGTTCAGCTAAGCTTTTTATGTTAAGCTATTGACATCAAGAAAAAAAAGAAAATATTTTGTGTACTTTTGAATACCATCTTTGACAATCTCTCAGTTAATGAATACCTTAGCATTCTCAAATGTTCCAATGTATTGAAAGATGGACTGTTTTATTAATGTTATGAAATTGGAAGACAGAAGATCGACCAGCTTTTTTTGAATAAGCTAAGAAAATAATGCTTTTGCTAATCAGTGTAGACCGCATTTAAGAAATGGAAATTTACTGACCAATGTGCCAGAAATGAAACTTTGTGTTATGTTTAATGGGATACAATTGTAGGCTGAAATAGATGACACTGGTGACATTGGTTAGCCTTCAGCTATCGAAAGCTTTTTGCAATGCTTAATTGGTTAATTGAACAATTTTACAAGAAAAATGCATAGCTTGAGAAAATAGCAAATTTCAGACTAGATAGAAATGAGTTTAGGCTTTCCGGAATTGACAGGAAGTAAATTCATTCCATTTTATGTTATCCATTTTCAGCTTTATACTGTTTTAGAAAATTTCTTATTTTGATGATAATTTCAATTCAGGAAAACAAAAACAATTCTAACAACTTTCTTTATTTGCTGAAAAGTCTAAGAGCCAAAATTATTAGAGTTATTCCAATTGATTGGATGAACAATGAGAACATGAAGAAGACTAGTAGGTTTTTTAAATGTGATATGGATAGCATAAAACCATATGGCATCTTTAAGCAACAAAAAAAGAAGCCCACTTATTTAAAGCCTAAGGCCTAGGAATCTTTTACTTATTGCCAACAATTTCTTTAATCATCTCATACAATTCTTGCTATTTATGATCATTTATTCGAGATCGTCCTAAAAACAGAGACCTAAAGAGCAATAAAGTAGTGTTATGGGAAATACGAGCGTTATCGGTTTCTTTCAGATTCAATTTCTTTTAAAAAAAATGAGCCTAATAAAATCATTTAAAAACTACTCCATGGACAACAGATTTAATAGCCTTATAAAAGCTCATTTGGCTTTTGCTCTTTGAATAATAGACCATATAAGAAGCAACAAAATCATCCATTATGCAAAATAGATTATTATTACAGCTGAAGGGAAGAATATATTAAACTACGCAGTTAATTCTCAATTTTTAGCTCAACAATCCAAGTTGTTGTCATATCAGCCATATCAACATTTATATAAGTAAGTTGAAGATTACATAAAACACGTGATATTTATGGTAATCGACTTGCATAAACAAAAATTTCTTACATCTATTAACGATGTTATGTAAATCAGGCTACTTTTGCTATCATTTAGTAGCCAAAATAATGAGTAGCTCTTTAAGTCAAGTGTTTAGCATTTCAAAATTAACTATAATTTAGTGTGGTAATAACGAAATGAAGAGGATATCTAAGGTTATTCCAAACAAATTTAGAGCATTTTGAAGAGTACAATATATCCTGCAATATTATTTACTTAACATTGAAGAGGCTAAGGATGGTAGACACTACGCACTGTTTGTTGCTTTTCTTTTTTTTTTTAATTTACAATGAAAAAGAAAAAGACTAAATATAGCTGAAATAACAATACTGGTTCTAATTCATTTTCATTTTCTTTTTTCTTGAATGGATGTTTGTTAGCTTGAGATCTGAAGTGTGAAATTTCATCAGCTTGTTAGCTTGAGATCTGAAGTGTGAAATTTCATCAGTTTGTTAGCTTGAGATCTGAAGTGTGAAATTTCATCAGTTCGGAAATTAAAATCAAACAATTCTGTCTGTGTATGAAAATCACCAAAAAAATTTTTTTTTTTTATGGGAAAGTTTTTTAATTGAAAATGGTATTTGAAAGCTAAAATAGCACGACTAAAATGAAGAGAATTATGAATGAATTGATGAAATCGCAGAATTATCATTTATTTATTTCAATTTTAAATACCAGATCGCTATGCTTGTCTTATTCAGACGACAATTTGTTATTTTATTAAAAAGAGGTGACCATTTTAATATTGACTTCAATTTTCAATGCGGAACTTTTTCTTTTTTTTCTAAAAAAGAATAGTTGGCAATCTTAATAATATGAAAAAAATTTCTAAAAAAATTTAACTTGATAATTCTAAAATGTAAATGAGTTTCGCTTCTGCTTGGAGGTTTGTGATATTGGAATTTTTAAAACCGTTTCACACAACAACAAATTTTATATAATAAGTCTGTGGAAAGTACTAATACCACAAAGATGAAGCTCATTCTATCCAAGCATTCATCGCAAACTGCTCCGAAAAATAAACATATCATGAATGAGAGGATCATGTGATACCGTAGTAAATCCAAATTGAGATACCACGCATTTTTTCGGATTTCTGCAAAACTTAGCTAAACAGAAATGTCTCATCAAAAAAGACAGTTAAGTCAACTAATCCATAAAGAACGATTAAAAAGCTACGAAGCCGTTTGTGTCTTTAATGAAGAGAATTTTGTTTAATTTGGCTTTATCGCTTAAAATACCTGAAAGATAGAAATGAAAATATTGATCGTTTAAGCACTTAATGTGCCTAAATTTGCATTTTGAAAACTATCTTTTTTGAGCACTATGAAATTCTGTTAAAACAAAAAATGATGCGATATTTCTTCCCTAATTTTAATCTCTTCAACCTTTATCATAACAAAAGACAGAACAATGCAGTAATTAATGGAAATGAAATTCACATGTAAGGTGATTTGTAAAGTACTAGTTTGCCAATGTCACCAGTATGTCAATTTTCTTCACAATCTAACAGGTGATAGTAACTAAGAAATTATCATAATATCGGTAAAAATAGGCAATAATTCGAAGTATGTAAACAAAATTGCAATTTTTCATCGAAATTTTTCTATAAGAAAAAAAGAGTATGCTATAACAGTAAGGATAAAACAGCTGATTGGGAATGACATATTGATTACATCTATGATTTCAAGCATAATACAGCTAAATCACGATAAATATCAGTGATTAACAAGCTAAAACTTTAATCGGCCCTACTCTCCCCTTAATTAATCCTGAACTAATTTAATCAATGGTGTCTAACTATGTTAGAATATGAAACCAAAATAAATTTCTTGAAAAAAGAATCTATAAATAAAAACACGTATAGAAGCTTAATTTATATTTTTTTAAGTAATTTAAAAGTCTCATTTGAAAAAAATGGGGTCTATAGCAAAAAGATCTGTTATCAAGTAACTGTAATAAAATAATTGTAATTTTTTTTCAAATTTTCTGATAATTTTTTATATATCAAACATTTAATCACTAATCTAGGAAAATCTTTCAGTTTACAATATGAGTATTTAGGTATTGTATATGGGAAGTTTCCAAGTTTGCTAGATGAATTCGATTTTTTAGATGAATTTTAAATATTAGTCGAAACACGGAAGAATTATATTATAGAAAGAAAAGAAATATATGCTGTCAGCTTATGGAAAAAAATGATTTTTAAATATTAATTAATAAGAATTTATTAATAATAAGTGGTGAATTTGCGCTAGCGTCATTTCACGAGTCGCCAAATATGCTTCAGCAGTACGAAAAAAGAAAATCAGATTTTAGCATGATACATTGAAATTTCGAATTACAAAATGAATTGAACCATAAAGAATTTCCAGTTTCATGACTACGAATCCTAATTGATAACTCTTTACCGCCTAGTCTGAGATGTCAAATTTTGAATTTGACATTCGTCCGTCAATTGCATTGCTAAGAAACTGACTGGATATCATTATCCAATCCTTCTACATTCTAATTTGTTATCAAATTTTTTTAAATTTCAGTAGAATATTTACACTTACCAACATAAATCCTCGTGAAACAATAACAAATTCAAACATCAATATTAACAGTTAATAAAATATTAACATTAATCCGGAACAAATGACTGTAAATAATAACATTATTCCGGAATGACGGATTTTTTCGTAGCATTTTCTGTCGTCAATTTTAATTTCAAAAAGCAGTTTTTGAAATTAATTAAAAAAAAGGAAACCATAGAAGATGCAAAACTGAATATGAAGAAATCCTGTTTATCTTACTATATTTCAAAACTTCTAGCAACCCCTCTCGTAGTTAAGCTTATTAACATTTTTCATTCTATATAGGTTTAATAGACAAAAAAAAAGGAATGAAATTCCATTTGAATATTAATAGTTGTAAATGGTTGGGACACTGATAAGAGAAGCAAAAAAAAATGATACCTTTTAAATTTACTGACCAAATTATCAGTTAGTGAAAGATATTTTTTAACAAAAGCTGCAATGTTAAATAACAAAACTAAGTTATAAATAAGAAGTTAGGTGAAGTTTTTCTTCCGGAAATTTAAAAGTAAATAGAACTGATCGCCAAAAATGGTAATGTAATATATTCCATAAATTAAATTTCACTTCTACCATTTCATTAAATTAATTTGTTTTGTTTGTTTTTCCTTTTGCAAAAAAAAAAAAAAAAAAAAAGATCCATCATCGAATTACCCGTTCATTTATTTATTTGCTGCTGAATTTTTAAAAGTTTTATATTATCGCTACAACTGTCATAAGCAAAATCGCGTTGAAATAGAAATTTTTAAATTTCGAAAATTTGAGAATTTGAACACAAGATAAAATAACAAAAGACAAAATTTTCATTCATTCGTTGCGAACAAAAATGTTATTAAATTTTTAAACTTAATCAAATCATTTGTTATTGGGCACAAAAAGAGTTAAACATGAAGAAGAGAGTGAGTTTTTTTTTTTTTTGAGTATTAATTCTAATATCTAATTATTAGAAAATGTTCGACAGTAAACAATTACCTGTCTTTGTATATCTAACATCAATGCTCTTTGGCAACGAAAATTTTGAAATTCATTTTTAGCCGCAAACTTTTTATTTTTTAATTACTCAAACAAATCACTTTCCACCACTATTGAATTACTAACTTTGTTCTTTTATAAATTCTATTTCGTTACTGTTTTCCTTTATAGTTACTGTAAACATTAATTATTGTCTTATCTTTATTTCTTCCTTTTCATTCGCCGAAATAATTTTTAAAAAAGTTCTTGCAAGTTAGTGTAGACCAATATAGACTAATAGATTGGGCTAGTTAGCTAGTTTGAACATTCGATGATGTTGTAAACTGGCAATCATCAGGTCTTTCGTTATTTCTTCCTTCTCATGGCAGGAAAGCAAAGGTGAGAGGGAAGCACAAGTGACAAGAATAGCTTTTAACAAAATCTTTCTCAAGTTTCATTAAAATTTCAAACAAGCAAAAACTCTCAATCTTAAAAAGCTTAAAAAAACGCCTTTTCATTACGATGGCTTATTGAAGCTCATAAGTAATAGTTGATGTCTTATCTGGATGATATACTTTGTTGAAAAATTAAGCGCATTTTTAATTTTTGTAAAATATATGAGCCATTTTCTTCTTACACTTATTACATTTTTATGGGTAATGCATGCCATATAAATTCGATACAGATAAGTTTATGCATGATATCACTAATCTGATAAACTTTAATGAAGAAGAGACGGGTGTTTTGTTAAATTTTAATAAAACAGAATTCAGACAGTAAACTGACAAAGCACTGAACGGAAATTTCATTTGCATAAATACAAATATGCGTTTGCTTAGAAGGTAAAAATCATTAGATTGTTCACTTGTCAGTAATCTATCTGTTATTCAACAAATGATAACTGTTAGATTAAGCAACAATTGCAAATGATTTCAAAATTGAATGATTAACCCTTCGTATTTTAAATTTTACTTTATATCACTTATTTATTAGCATAATATTTCGATCTTTTACATGCTGTCACTTCGTTGATTGTCAACCCTCCGCATTCTTTCATTGAAATAAACACACTGGGAAGATTCCGTGATTTGTTTCAATTTTTCCCTCTCAATCCATTTCTTCTAATTCACAGAAAATTTAACTGCAAATCAACATTTTAATTCCAGAATAACTATACCTTACATGAAGTGTCCCTAAATTCCTATATTAGAATGATCTAGGCGCTAAAAATACAACGATATGACATGAAACATAAGTATCACGATCTATTTTATGACGTCATCCACACGGCTTATTGTTTATTTCACCACAAACGTATATTGGCAATGATGAAACTGGTATAATATGGATGTTCTGCAAATTCAAATTAACAAATTTTAACATGTTTCGAACTGAAAACGATTTGGCTTGAAATTTCACGGATTTCAAAATAATTCAAAATAATTGAATCCTTTCGGGACTACATGTTATAAAATAGGTCAAAAGGTCAGATAACACAGTTGGAAATATCGCTTTCATCAATCGCCAGCGACATTTCATGCAGCCCGCATACATGCCGAACGCGCATTAAAAGCTCCGTTAAAATGCGCTCACACTTTCCACTAATTTTACAATTCAAATGTGCCTAAAAATGACATACATAGTCGAAAATGTCACATTTGACAATATTTCTAAGCAGTGTTGTGTACCGAAAAGCTTTATAAGCTTCATCCTGCAACAAATAAAAGCTAACATGTATTGTTAAATTTCACTAATCAGAAAGGTACATGAGTGCTGATTGTAAGGGAAAGGTGTAAGTTTACGTGAGTAGATGCGTGTATGGATAAGTGCCCGCACGTGTATTTTGCATGAAAGTGAACGTGACGGATGTTGCTTTTACATTAAAGTAAAACTATTAGCCAATTTTCTGAATTATTAGACCTAAACTGTTGGAACTTTTGACCAGAAATAGTATGTTCTCGACTGCAAATGATGTTCAAAGAGCACTACGTGTAATGTTTCACGTGTTTCGAAATCAATCAAATTTGAACGATCATTTGAAAATTAAAGCAATGGATAAAATAAAGCAAAAGAACAAGCTAACATTAAAGCATCAACATAATAAGATTGCACTCACATCCAAATGTTACATCTTGAAGACCTGAAGATATTCCTAATATGAACGAATTGTTGTTCGGAGATCAAGAACTGTAAGTAGTAACTTGAGAAATTGATTTGATTGTTAAGTGTATAAATTATTAAAAAATTTTTCCCTCATGGAAGATTGAACGAAAATGGAAAAAATAATTTGTGAAAAAAAAGAACTTGAATTTTCTGCGCTTGAATAAATTCAAAACCAAAATTTGCTATATCAGTAATTGAATATCAAATTTAAGCATGTGCTTTTTGTATGAAAATATACAACTCAAATTGTTGCTGGCAGCAATCAACCATAAAGCTATTTGTTATGCTCCCTGAAACTATTTTGAATTTGAACATTCATTTCTTTTTCTCTTTCTCTCTCTTTCTTTCTCCCTCTCTTCTTCCCCTTTAAGAGAAATATATTTTAAACACAAATTTCAATTTAAAACTTAATTCACAAATTGTTGCTTGATTCTAAAATCATCTCAAAAAAAAATAACCGTTTGGTTCGAATACCAAATTTCGAAGAAATAGAAAAAAGATTATTAATTTTCAACCAGTTATACAAAATTAAGAGTCCGAATGTCTTTATGGCATTAAAATGAGCAACATCTTATCGATTGTTGATTAAGTTGCTGATCAATTCAATGTGACAACTTGTATACTCAGTGGAATCGAAAAACTGGATAGTATCCGATAATTGAAAAGGCTATATTGTCCAGCGACCAGAACCAGAATTAGACTGTTGCAGTTGCTTTTGTGAATGACAATAGGACTGGTGGTATTAATCCTTTTCCTGGTATGCGAAAGAATCATTAAGATGAAATTACAGTGATAATCGAAAATCATTACTATGAGATAATCAATGGAAGTTACGCTTTTATTCGTCAATGTTAATTTAGTTTTGCTAATTGTACCCGAAAACAACTGACCTGAATAGTCGAATGACCTTTTAAAATGACATGTCATTGACTATTCTAAATTAATTAATTTATTACTTCTTTTCTGCTTTTCTCTTCATACACTTTTTCATTTGAATAGAAATACTTCATCAATTCCTACCTAATCTGATAGTGATCTTCACTTGTGCTTCGAAACATCCCATAAACTACTAGTTAAGTACCACGTTTTCGTGTATCATGGTGGCATGATGGATGGAACGTAATCAGTATTTTGGTCATTGCTAAAATTTCTACTGCAGATGACACTGCGTCACAACACATCATCGATGACATGATTTCTTGTAGGAATGAGAAAATCACTATCAATTTCTTGACTATTGCATCATTAGTTGCTCTTCCAACTTATTCAATTTCGATTGATTATTCCGATCATTATTATTACTAATATTTTCTTAAATTTTACTCTTCCTACTATAACCGTTGAAGTATTTGTATTAAGTATCTAATTTTAGTACAGTATGTGCAGATGTATAATCAAATTTGTGCACATAGATTTTTTATAATTTTAGTCATTATGTGATTGAAATTATAATCTAGCAGCTCATTAATAAGTTAGCAATTAGAAACGTTTGAGAACTCATCGGTACTAAATTTCTTGACTTGTTGAAAATAGTGAAATGGAAATTGAAATAGCTGTAACAAAAACATGATGTCGTCATATTGATACACATCTCTTTACATAAGAAATTCGAGCAACCTATTGAACAGATCAATATCAGGGCGTAAATCAGCGAATCTTCAATAACACTAAAACTAGTGTTATTTTTCATTAAATTGTTTTAAAACTAGCTTTAACAGTTAAATGAGAAACAAAATTTGCCTGTAAATCCAAATAAATTTTCGATTATTTTAAAAAATTCGAAATGTCATCACTTTTTTTTTTTTCTGCTACATTCCTCATAAATGTAATATAATAAACCATTCATGTATCGTATATTATTTCTATTCCGTGCCAGTTTCGTTCAACATTCTGGTTCTATTTATTTTCTTAAAAAAATAACTCTAATTTAAAAGCTACTTATTTTAGGAAAATTAAACCTTCAAAACATTATAAATCCCCGCGCAATTATATCATCATTAAATTAATTGATAAACTTTACATATTTCTAGCTGAAACTGAATTTAATGCAATAAAAACAGTTTTTTTTATTCTTACCTTTTGCTGTAATTTTTCTTTATTTCATTCCTAATGATAAAATGATAAAACTAATTTCATTTCAGTTTAATTAACTTCAAATTCTTTACCACTAATTACTTACTCGTAATGGACATTTATTAGTATAATTTTCAAACGTTGAACAAAAATTTGATCCCATTTCCAATTATATATAAAGGGAATCTAGCAGATCATTTTTTACTTCTGTGAATAATTTTTACAGTTTTAATTCATTGTTGAAACATTATTTTTATAAATGTTTGCTGTTTAAAGTTAGTTGGATTTAAAGCTAAATTTAATCTTCAAATTTTAATTTCTTCTAAATCTTTCACTAAAACCTTCTAAAAATTTTCCGCTAAGCCTTCAAAGCTACAGAAACTGCCAACACGTTGAAGTGATCTCTTTAAAACTTGTTTAAGGTATATCTCCATATTGAGCATATCTTTCTTTTTTTTTTATTGGAATGCTATTTTTGGACTAATATAAATACCGATAAGTGGAATGATGAAGATATGAAGAGATATGGTATGAGTTGAAGAACATTTTTTGGCTGAGAAGGATGATGATGGATGATACATTGTGCGCAATTTGCATGGATATTGAAAGACAAAATGTCACATCAGGTATCATCTTCCATTCAATCAAATTTTTATTTATCACTAAACTGGTCCCATATCTCAATTTTTCCCAGCAATAAATTGAAAAATGGGCTTTTTGATTTGATTCAACGGTTTGGTTCGCTGATTATCGTTCAAGTTACAATTTGCGTGTAAAAATTCGTTATTAGATATTTGACTGAAGCATTTTCAAATAATTATCAATTTTGCCTTGGCCAGAAATACCGATAATCGAAAATGAAAAATTCTTCATTATTCTTGTATCTTAGCCAAAATTAGCTTGACCTAGTCAACACTTGGCTCTATTCATTCATCTCTTTCAAATTTTGAAAGATTTTTCTGATTTTATCACTCTTGAGATCATAACTGTTAACAGTAATGGTTTTTTAAATCTTTTCTTTGAATCTTTATCAGTTCCGTTAAAATGTGAACATTTTTGGAACAATTCCGCAAATTAATCAAATTCCTAAGATGAAATGGGAAGGATATCGTTCGGTTAGATGAATGTTAATAGCAGCTCATTGATTTTTTTTTCTTAATCTGTTGAACATCGAATGTTCGGCAAGCAGATGGACATCGGGATTTTTGTCGTAGTTGATTTTTTGATGAAAGATTGTCATCGCTAATGGGAACGAAAGTACAGGAAGAAGTCATATTGATGTCTTTGAAGTACACCGATAATATGTACCATTACAGGGATAAGTAGTAAGACTACTTTGAATAGCTTATTATGTACTCTCAACAAAGGTTTCATTTAATGGCGCAATTGGACCACCGTTAATTCGCCTCCGACTTCTTTTTCATTCTCCCTTCCCTTTCCCATATATGCGCAAGATTCTTTTATACCGTTGTCAGTTCCGCCCCGTTCCAATGGACAGCTGTCAAGCCAACAAATTTGCTGCTAATCACTGTTTTTGAACTAAACCGCGAGCTTTCATTGGTAATGAATGGTCATAGCATCATTATTATGGAAACTGTGGTATCAATAATGTATAGATAATTTTGATAGTGGTAATAGTACTGGTAGTAATACGGAGGGATCTCTGATGAAAAGTGTAAAATAGTGGTGGTACCGTGGTATCATGGTATCATGGTATCGTCATATCGTAGTACCGTGGTATCGTGGTATCATGGTATCGTGGTATCGTAGTACCATGGTATCATGTTCCTTCTTTCATTTTTTTTCATTCTTTTTCTTCCCTTCATTTCCTTATCTCAACTTTTTTTCACTCTTGTTGATTCGATTTATATCAAAAAATCGCTGGATTTAAATGATAATGGTCCGGTTTTTCGACACCGACCAAATCGATGAAGTGTTATATTTCTATTGCTGAAATACATCTTCATAACTTATCCGGTTTGCATTTCGAAATTAAAAAATGGAATGTCTGCTTGAATGCCACCGTACCGGTTAATTTCGTTTTTGAGAAACCAGGGAGGAATTAATTGGAGCTGAGAATACGGTGGTTTGAAAAGAGAGATTTATGATGGGACTAAGAAAGGGAGGAAGAAGACTTGGCTATCCCTTGACAGTTATTTATTGCGTCGCTTCTCCCTGTCAACTGCGCTTTTTTTCTCTCACACAAATTTTCCAAAAATAAGCTTTATGAAATTGAAAACAAGGAAAAATAGGTTCATTGCTGTTTCGAAGTGACGAAAACATTTCTTTGTTGACCTTTACTGAGCCGTAACAATCATCCGCTCGTAATTATCAAGACAATTTGGCTTACCTGATATTACAGCGGTAGTCATTTGTCGCTCGATGATATCTGCGCATGCATATCATCAGTTTGGAAAAGTTAAATACTATTTAATATCCATTAATATTTTATCATTACTTCCAGACGGATAAAACTAGTTACACATCAGTCTGAAAACACTGTATGGAAAAGTAAAATTAAAAGTTATGGAAAAGTAAAATTCATTAGATAGGACATGTTCCTCATTGCAACATTGTCGAATAGTTTTCTACAAGAAATGGGATGAACACTTTTAGATAGGCTTTAGAAAGATTTGATACAGAGAGCTGAAACTGAAAGCAAAAAAAAATAAGCCAAGAAGAAATGCCTTGGCTTGTTCATCCTTGCATTCACTATCAAAGCTTAATGATATCAAAATGAGAGTTTAAATGATAACAGTCTGTATGCTTTCTCTTCTGATTTCGTTTATTTTATCATCTTTTCCATTCGTTTTGATCTTAAGATTCCTACTTATTCGTAATAAACTCGACTTGAACAGTCTTAGTGGCAGTCACATACAGTACTTCTCATACAATTCCCTAACATTTCTCTTTCTCAACTCCAACAACTATATGTTTCTTCAATTTGCATTAATTTTAAATTAAAAATGCAAAATTTTCAAAATATATAAGAATTTTTTAAGGGATAAAAAACAATGTATAAGAGGCGCTATATTTTCTGCGCTTGCTGATAAAATATAAATCAGATCGTTGGCCTAATACACGATGAAGGTCAAAGCGGTTAAATAGTGAAGAAGATTATTCATGGCGCCACTAATTCACATTGATTGCCAACAGGCCATAAATCATCATCTCGCTTCTTTTTCTACAATTACTTCATACCGTATAAACCAAAACGTTTAAATATTTCATTTCAAAATTCTGAAAACTATTATCATAGTGTACTGAACGTACTGTAATATAAAGTATCGAAACATCCAACTAAATCATCTACTAAAGCATTTAACTACCCTATGTAAATAGGCTTATTATTGGCAAATAAATTACATTATTCAAAAATATATTTAAAAAAAACTTCGATCAGTTTTTATTAATTTTTAAATTTACAAAAATTCCTTTTATATCAAAAAATGTCTGCAAAAGGTAACAATATTTCAAATTTTAGAAATTATTTACTTATCCCTTATCACTTATCAACTACTGATAGACTTTACTATAGTCATTAATTCTGGAAATAACGAAATTAGTGAAAGTTGTTTAAAATTCGAAAGATTAATAATATTGATCATTAGTTGAAAGGTACATTATATTAACGGCATATTTTAAAAGTGACACATTGTCGTCCCACTATCGCCATCTTATGTCACCGCTACCGATTCCCCGGTTCCACTTTTCCCCCCGAATCCCAGTCCTCTGTCGTTATTCGCAGTCTATCATACATTGTTTATATGCTGTTCTGTGCATTCCTGTGGATTGCACTGCAATTATCGACCACTTCTAAGCGTCCTTGTCACTCAGCACTGTACATTCATTTCCTCAATACGTCCAATGCCATCCTATCCCAACCCATTTATTTATGTTTCAAACGAATGAATCCTTCCTGTTCCATGGATCATCTTCACTAACAAAATGAATCAACGATAGTACAGGTCACGATGTCTTGGGACAAGGGAAGAGTTCAAGTGAAGAGAGGAGGACACATCATCCTAATTAATTTGAAGTAAGTATATTACTTTAAATATAGTAAAAACGCAGAGTTTCAGAACTCACAGCTTCATTATCATACAAATATTTCGCGAATCTTTTTCAAGGCAATAAAGACATGTAATGTCCGAAAACGGTTTATTGATTGATTTTTAGTCTTTCAATCTAAACTACATGATTCTGTCTTTCATGGTAATTTATGGTTGGTCCTAAGACTCAGAAACTAAAGAGTATGCAAGGCAGCATATGGTCAGTCGTGAAGCCCAACGAAAATGCAAGCTGGCGATTTGTAGCTATTCAGAGCAAGTGATGGAATGATGAAGGTAGAGGAGGATAAAGGAGAAATACACTGATGGAACACTTTTTTTACTCTTCCTCATAGATGAACAGGGACTTTGAAGGGATCAGGAAAACCAAAGTGATAGTAGAAGATTTCAACTTTGTTGACATAGTTGAGAAAACTATTTCATTCTTTGTAGATACGGTAAGTTGTAAATGAAGTTAAAATGAGTTCGAATCTGATAATATGTCTTTGAAACTTAGTTAACTTTGAGTCAAATTCCAAAGACATATTATCAGATTCAATCGGAAAAAAACTTCGCATAATCATTTTCATTTTTGTGCAAAATCGATGGTGAAAATATGCAAGTGAAAAAATTTTATTTTCATTGTTTTGCTTTTTCGATTCACACATTCATTCGGTCGTTTGTTTTAGTCTTACATTTGCTGACCACTTCTTTTCTTTAAAGATGACCTCAGATTTGAGGAAATCATTAATCTGATGCCAATTATTGTGTACTTTATCGAGTAACCTCTATTTCGACCTTGCCACCCGTTTCTCCCGGTGTCTAACCTCGTTCTTTTTAGTAGCGATCCAGTGAATATCCATCCATTAATGGATTGCTGTTGCTAAGTAACAATAATGGAGTTGTAGTACGTCTAGTGAAATAAAATTTTTCATCTCCCAACTTTCCTTTTTGCGCTTTTATATTTTCTAGCTAGGGTTTTCATAGTTCAAGTTCAAACTTAAATCTAAGCCAGGATTTAATCTTCACCTAATCGTTTTTTCTCCACATATCCCTTCACATCTTAGTCTTAATACCATCCACCACTCACATTGCGCTTTACTATCACTTGATAACAACTATGATATTCATATTTTATCAAAGATTTCAGTGTTATCATTTTTTCCTTTTGTTTATTACTTTAACTGCTTTCATCATAAGAATTAAACGATGAAATAGTGTGATCCGATAATGCATCCCATAAATGAGTTATAATTGGGACGAAATGAAGAGATTTTCAACTAGTTGAAGATTCTCAAAAAAGATTTACTATATAGCATTTCTAATGAGTATTCCTACCCTTACCCTTTCCTCCTTAACTTTAATCCTCTCTAGTAGTTCCAGCAATCATACATTGAGAGAATTACGAAATCTTTGTTTTGGTACTTTTCGAAAAGAATTTAAGAAATTTCTCGAATTCTTCTTGGCTTCACTTCAAAGAAATGCGCAAGTTTGTTAATAATGTATGTGAGATTTTCCGTTCATTTAGGTTTCATTTATTTCATTCTATAAGATTCTTACTGTTTTTGAGAAGTGAATTTGTGTGAAAATGAGGAAGGCAAGCGATAATTTAATTTTTCATAATTGTTAACTTTGAAATTTTATAATGATCCAATAATATATTGTGAATCATTTTATTCTATTTTCAAGTTGATCGTTTATTCTACATTCCATCCGGATCAGGAACAGTGACTGCATCGGTTCATAAAGAAAGGAAAGAGGAGAATTGTAATCTGAGAGGTACCGTAGTTAAGAAGTAGATCGAGTGAAGTTGAGGAGTAAACTGAAACTTGTTACCGTCAGGTGTCATTAACCTGTTGAACTGTTGTCGCTCAACTGTTAACCAGTGCCTAGCATAATGTCAATCAAATTGGCGTCTAAAGCTTTATTTTCTAATTTGTTTCCATAGAGAAGTACTTTTTACGCTGGCTTTTGTTAGCTTCATATAATAATATCTATCTGATCTCGACTTATTTGAAATAATAATACTCCACTCATTTATAATTAACTTGGTTAAACTTATACCGGAGATTCCGATTGATTAGTTCGGGAGTTTATTATGTTCAGAATCTTTTTTTATTCCATATTACCGTATGATGATGATGGAATTCAAAGAAACAACGAGAATTAACTTGATGAATTAGTTTGACAGTAAAATAAACAGAGGGAAGCTTTCCTTTCTATCAGTAATGTTTGTTTCGCAAAATTAAATTAACTAAAATTAAACTATCGAAGAAATGTTTAGAATGCTAATTGAAAAGTTGAAAGCAATTAGTAAATCTCCACGAATCCATCAGTGCTAATATATGCAAAGTTATGGTAATTGGCAAGGTGAAAAGTATAATATCATCGTTTCTTCTCCACTAAACGTCTCTTTCTCTTTTCTGATCTCTTCTCATTTATACTTCTTTCATGAAATGTACTTCTGCAAGTTTTGTTCATTTTACGCGAATACCGTAAGGACGCGTATATATATATATATATGCAAGGTTATGGTAATTGACAACATGAAAAGTATGGTATCATCGTTACATTTCTGCCAACTTTTTTTTCTTATTTACAGTTCATCACTAAAGTTTTGCTTTCCAAGATCCCTCAAACCTGTAAATATGCATAAATGAATGTGTGCCATTGTTTAGCGGTATGTGTATGTGTGTGTATGTGTGTCTGTGTGTCTGTGTGCGTGTGTGCGTACATGTGTGTGTACATGTGTATGTATATGTATGTGTGTATGTATGTGTATGTGTGTGTGTATATGTGTGTATTGGGCAGTTTATTTACTTTCCATTAATATATGACTAACCTCAGTGAGTCAGTCCCACCACATTTTTATTCTTCCATTCAACCATGTGAAATTCAATAATTAGGTCTACGACTACCTGCCTAGTAGACTCGCCGAACATTAACCTTTGAAAGAAGACTTGGAATACTGTATCAACCGTATAACCGGCTATATTATTTTTATTCATCAAATTCTCCCACCGTTAAATGGCGTGATTCATCGGTTTGTTCTAATTACTGCCTTATTTTTGAAATGCTAGTTAAATTCGAAAGAAAAAACTTATTTCTATAGAAATATTAAATTTTCTTAGCACAAAAAAGCGATATTTAAATTATCTCTGAGAACAACAGAAGATGTTTTATGGCCAAGAAAACGAATTCCAATAAGATTCGGTGATTTGAAAATAGTTTTAGTTCGTATTTTTTTCAAAAGGTTGGACAGTACGGTAGTTTTTGTTGAAAAATACATAAGTCATTTTGAAAACTTTGACTAAGCAAGTTAAAGATCTTGCATCCGCACCAGACTTAGGCCAAAGGGTCTACATGCCAAATTAGTCAGCGAATATATTGCACTGATTAGCTAGCAATCCTAACTGACGTTTCAGGTAGTAACTTAGCTGTCACGCATGAAATTACTTTTCTATATAAATTGAAAAAAAAAAGCAAATCATAGATTTATTGTAGAAATAGTTTGGATAAAAGAATTTTTCTAGTTTGATGACGAATGGTTGTGTCAACGATCAAAAAAAGGGTGGAAAGATGTTGGCGCAAATGTTGAATGAATTGTTGGAGGGAGCAAATATCCACACCCTCTTCATCCCATTCTTTCCTCAAATTCATTTTTCCTTGGTATGTATATTATACTCTGCGTTGAATGTTGGTCGAGAAAAAAAATGATTTTTTGACTGGCAATTTGCAGAGTTGATGGATTTCAATGTTGAATCGAATTTAGAACCTGAGATATCGATGGATTGTGCTCTCTATGATTGTATACCTCCAGAACTAGTGGTCAACATCGATAGTTATTTATCCTTTGAGGATAGCCTCCATTTTCAAGTATACCATTTTATCACAAACTAATTGTCTCCATTTTGATAACAGCACTAATGAACATCATTATTGAAAGTTTTCAAAAATTCAACAAAATTTCATTTTCAATGGAATTTTTTGTGACAAAAGTAACGTGATCGGTGACAAATGTATATTTTGTACACATGACATGAACATATTGAACGTATAGTGTTAAAATTAACATTAATTTAAAAGATTTGGAAGTTTTCCCGCAATTTGAAAAAGGCAATGTTCAAATTTCGACAGTTAATTGTCTGGAATGATTTGTCATTGTAGGAATGTTCGAACTATATCAAATGCGCATTGTGTTCCAACTGGTGTAAATATGACAAAATCCAGGTATGCCGATATTAAATGGTTTGGGAAAAGATTGCTATAAAGATCTTGCAAATTATCAAACTGCAACTACTGACTGATTTTACAGATAAGCGATGACCCTCTCGATTGTTATATCATTAGTACTAAAGGTCGTGTACCTAAACGAAATTTTTTGGAAACCAATTTGAATACAGTTTTCATAAGTTAGTTTTTCGTTTTTTCGCTTAACCTAAAATGTGAACGTTTAATTAGTATTGGTTAAAAATGAGAATATTTAAGTTTCGATGCATGTAGAATAATTGGCAAAGAGAGATTTCCAGGAAAGAGTTGGATATGAAACACAGAGACACAGTTGTATCATAGATTGACCTTCAGGTTTTCCCTCTGATATTTTTGAAGGTTATCTGACTTATTAGCTGATGAAAGTATTTCAGCATGTAATAAGATCGTGGAAGTGATGATGATTATGAAAGATGTCGGATCATTACAAAGATGCAATGCTGATGTGCCGCAGTCATTGAAAGGTTCCTATCTGTTGTTTCTGTATTTTTCCTTGAAAAGTTTGCTACCGTAGCTTATTAGATGGATCGTATTAGTACTTGAATGTTAACAATATAGTATCATCTTTAAAGTATCATCAATATAGTATCATCTTTAGAGTATCATCAATATAGTATCATCTTTAATCATTTAATCGAAGCATATCCTTAATATTTGAACACCATGGCAACACTACTAATTAAACTTGGCCACATTGCATACCATTTGCATAACTGCATTTATGATAACTGATTACGATAAGTAAAGAAGGATTGTTGTAGATATATCACTGTATCAAGCAAATGGTTATCTGGGATATCTATTCTCGAAGACACCTCAACAAGTGGTAGCTCAGCTTAAGACTGTTTCATTGCATGTTGACATCATGCGTGATAATCTGAGACAGTTATGCTTTCCGTGTCCAACTCAAGACCTTCTTTATTCCATTCATCACCTGGCCGATTCTCATTTCGAAACTTTCACTCAGGTTTTTCTTTTACTTTACAAGATATGGTATGATACCCTCTCGTATTGCTAAAGTTGTGGGAAGCTTTCTTTACTCACAGTGTGAAATAAAATTCAAAGTAGGATATTTTTATGTTTGATATTTTTGAAGACTCATGAAAACGAAAAGATATAGTGGCTAATAAGGAAGAATTTCGAGCAATACTATTAGTAGTTCAACCAGGCAAGATAGTTCTAATGATTATGAATCGAGTACCGAATCAAACTTTGATCTGATTGCAGATTTCATTTTGTTCAGCAACAATACAACCGGAGGACTGTCATCTCAGAAATATGTTGCTGAATAGCATGGAAATGACGCTGAAGAATATTGCCAAATATTGCGCAAAAACTGATTTCACTGTTGGTTGGTTTTTCAAAATCGATTCCAGCCATTCTTCTAAGACCTTATCAATTTGGTACTCCAGTTGAGATAAAATTTTTTGATTTTCAAAGAAAATTAGAGAAGCATCTACCTTCTTTAACAGTGAACATCTTGTTCTCTCATCATTTTATCCTCTCCTCTACTTGTCTACCACAGATTTAGTTGATATTTTCAATTAATCGATATATCTCAAAGTCAAAATGGTGAAGTTTAATCTTCAAAGTAATTTACTTCTTTTGTTAAGGAATTGATCAAAGAACGCTGATACATGAGTGGAGAGTAAATTCTCAATTTTTCTTTTTATTGTTTGTTACAGATGCAGCAGAAGGTTATGCAGATATGACTGTGGAAAAGGGGAAAGTAGAATATTCATTCGCATTCTTTTATTATAATCCTCATATTTGTGGGACGGATCCACAATCAACAATGGAAGGAATGGATCAGATTGATGAACAGCTGGTAAATTCATCTTTTGCTGATGGAAAACTAATTAGTAATCACGATAGGAATGATAACGGTGGTAATGGCAGAAGTTGTAGTAGTAGTAGTAGTAATGGTAGTAATAGTAGTAGTAGTAGTAGTAGCAGTAGTAGTATTTGTTGTAGTAGTAGTATTTGTTGTAGTAGTAGTAGTATTTGTAGTAGTAGTAGTAGTAGTAGTAGTAATATTTGTAGTAGTAGTGGTAGTAGTATTTGTTGTAGTAGTAGTAGTATTAGTAATATTTGTTGTAGTAGTAGTAGTAGTAGTAATAGTAATAGTAGTACTTTAACGTGTATAAGTACTCAAAATCAAATTCATTATCAAAGTAATTTGCAAATCTCAAAAGGAATGTGCACGTCTTTTTGGAGAAGTTTGATGAAAACTCATTAATGCATTGAGATGTAATTTGATTGAAATGATTATCAGCTGCGTATTCTGATATGAAGTAGTTTAGCTGTAAAATGTCGAGAAAACATCATACTATAGTATTAAAGCGTTGTGTTGTTATTTCATGGTACCTTATTTAAGGTAGGAATTATTCATGTTTTCCAAAATATGGCCCAGGACTGATATGGCTTAGTTTCATATAGGGTACCCAGTTTATGCTGAATAAAAAAAATTTGGCGTTGATATTCAGGGTGTAATGTTTTTGATCTCCTCATATATACATTGTTTGTATAGTTATTTAGTGTTTCCCAGTGGTGTTATTAGCCCGGTCAAAAAGGCAAAACATCGTTTCAGAGAAAGATATCAAGTTCATCTTACACGACTTCTCTTGGAGGTTGCTTTAAAAAGCGAAAAAGACCGGGCTTGCCACCTGATTTGTCTGTAGCTATTATTTGCGGTGAATAAAGAAGAAAATGTTTGAGGGATGACATGCATAATTAGTTGTTTTAATCAATGTTTATCGACTACTGATAGTATCTGAAATTCACATGTCCTGATGCAATCTATTTATGATGCAAATTTGCAAACCTGCATTAATTCAACCTTTGTGATACCATTTAACCATACATCGCCCTAATATACCCAAGTAAACAGAATGAATAGCTTTGTAAAAAAATGGTAAAAATGATCGAATTTGGGTCATCCTTCACGTAACGATATGTATCACCAATATTATTACAGTATTGTGGGAAACCCTGTAAAGGTGATTAATCAATAACATATCATTAAACGTTATATATCATTAAAGTTAATGGAATATTTTAAGGAGATTGTTTTAATATTAAATGTATGCGGATTTTGGTTTTACCAAATTTCATTGGATGGAATATATTGAGAGGAAAAGAATGCAAGGGGAATTGTGCATTGTAAAAGAAATGTTCGGGAAAGATCAGATAAATACAATAATTAATCTATAGCGATGTATCAAAATAAACAACTTCCGAACAAATGAACACTTGTTAGGCAATGAATTTGGAGAAATTTCAATGGTATCGATATTTTCCCATCGGGTTGGAAATTGTCGGTCTTTCTTCCACTACCGGTTTCATCGAACCAATCATGAAATAGGAAACAGTAGCAGGAAAGTCACATAATGGTTTCTTCCCTCCTTCCGGTTACAAAATCTAGCACTTCATTTTCCATACACTTATTTAAATGAATTTAAAATTGTCTTGAGAACAATTCTCGATTTGTGGGAAAATGCAGTTTTCCCTTTTTTTTTTCGTTCGTGACGAAACCGTTCACAATTTCAGGATTTTCCTGTTTATAACATTGGCTGAATCAGTGTTTACCGTACCAATGACTGGTAATTGTAAATAATAAAAGATATATCAACTTTCTTTGACTTTTTTCTTGATCTGGACACTTTTTTTGCTCCGTTGTTCGTTGCAAAATCAATGCTTCAACTAGGCTGGACCATGATGATCAAATTGTTGAAGCGTGATTTAAAATGAGAATCCATTTTAAAACCTTTTCCTGATATTGTTTTTAAAAGACTTCTTGGAAATTTCGACCTGCAGATAAGTTTTGATAGTTGTTTTTATTTGCTTTGCATCCCTTGGATTGATCGATGACGGAATTTCATAAATCATGCAAATTTTACTACCCAATTATTACAATATTGAAAGTTCATTTTGATATTTCATCGCTTTTAATATGCGATAATTAATTTTGATCACTTTGATTGAAAAGAAATCATTGATGAAACCAACAGATATTAATAATAAAACTGTTCATGGGAGCAAAATCATTAAATTTCCTTCCCATTCATGGTACAGGTAACATCGCTTTTCAGGTATCACTTCATTTTTCTACTATCTTATCACATATATTTTGGTAGAAGAAATGAAAATCTGAAAATATACCTTTATAAAAAAACATAAATATCAACTAATGAGAAGTCGATTTTCGAATGAGGTGGTATGGGATCAGTGATGAATTTATCGAATCCTTCCCTATCCTTATCGCTCTTCTTAATTAGCTCTCTCTCTCTCTCTCTCGGTTATCACCACCAAGTTTCACAATTAAGGTTTCCATCTCCTTCGTTTTAATAATTTTTATTTTCTATCATTTGTTCTCTCTTCCTTTACTGGACATACATACCTATTTTGTCCAAACGTATATACCATAATTTAATTGACTCATTTCCCGGTTACTTATCCCAATTCATTTACAGGTAATTGTATTTTTATTGATGAAAATAGTAAAGTTATATTCAGATAATTTGCTAAGCGAATGAATACGAAATTGAAATTAAAAGTTTTGGTGCAATACGGAAATGGCGTGAAGATGATAAAGGACGTATTCCTGAAAGCATGAAATATGTCAGAAAGATATTTTTTGGTTGGCTAACTTCAATGGCCCAAATGTTCTCTCCTCCTAATGACAAATGAATTCAGAGAGATGATTTGACCACTACCACTAAGAAATATACATTTATTGATTCTTTGTAATAACTGATCAGTCGGTTTTGATTATTTTACCTGTAGATATGTCGAGCATATTATATTTAAGGATTTAAAAGTAAATCAATAACTTATGCATCAATATTGTATTGTTTGAATGCCTTCTACTGCTTCCATCCTTTGAAGCCCCTTTTTTGATTGCTGCTTCATGCTGAAACTTCACGGTAAATACATACGATACATCTCAAATTGATTATAAATTATCCATTTTAATGTTAAGTTTGGAAATCAAATTTAAATTCAGTACTTTACATCACTTTGTAATCATGCTAATTTATTTTTTCTTTAACCAATAATGCCATCATTCGCATATGCTACTCCTCCTTTCTCGTTTCATCAAACTGTTACTGGTCAAACTTATTCGATTACTTTCACTGGCATACTTCTTGTTATGTTTCAATCTCTAAAAGGAAAAGATTATGTCGATTAAGTTCGGCTCGCAAATCTGAAGAGAGATAAGGAAAGACATCCGGTAAATGTGTGGAGAGAATCCTGATCTTCCCTATTGAAACTGATAATTTTGGAAAGAACATTAAAAACAGAACACACGACATTATATCGTACTAATAATCTCTTTTCTTGATTTTTTTTTCTCTTCTCTTACTTGAAAACAATTCGTAGGAAGAGAAAAAACGATTATTTCCTTCACTAATTACTACTCATTTCCTTTTACTTTTGTCTATGATACTTCCCAATTCGAATTGTCCTTTTCACGCATTACACATTGAATGAAACTTAAAATAACATTTTATGACTGAGAAAGTCAAATTTTCGAAATAATTTGATGAAAATTTGTACAAAACATTGGATACTTACTATTGTCAACTTCTTATTGGACAGTATAAAGAATGGATAGCAGTGATGAGTTTGTATGTTTTTTTCTTTTTTAATAGTTTGTCGATTTTAAATTAACCCTAATATTGGAACCTAATCAAATTTATCGATTTTATTCCAATCATTTTATATTTATCGATTTTTTTAGTTGATCTTTCTTATTTTTTTCATTTTTTAACCCATTACTGGAAGCTATTTCATCATCTGTTTTTGCAACATAGCAGTTAGCTCCTCATTATGCATCCCAGCCACTATAACAACCTTATATACCACCAATATCGTTACAAGTAATGCGGAAATCACAATACGGAATACGGTCAGCGCAACAATTAGTAGCTGCCGTATCGGCGCAAACATTCAACAGTGTATCGCCGTACAAGAAACAGCGACTAAACTTTGAAGTATGAAGAGGCGCAAAGGATGATACGTTGGATCTTTGTCGGGAAGACGACTGCTACCAATTTATTTGTCACAACTTTTCCTATCCATTTGGAAAGTTTTGTAGCAACAAAAAAAAAGTCAAAATTCAGAAATACTGCTAGAAATGGATCGCATTTTACTAAGGTATGCAAAAAAGATACAGTGGCGCAATTGACATATTTCTAGAACTTTTACAAATTATAAAAAGCTCTTTTGAACTAAAACTCGCAGAATTCCTGAAACTCTTTAAATTTTGAAATTCTCTGGGGAAGAGAATGATGGCAAGATTGCTTAATTGATTCACGGATACAATGTGAAAGATAAGCACTTTTCTTCCTCTTGTTTGAAAAGTTTTGAAAACAGAGCCATCGCAAAATTTGCGAAAATAAATTTATGTAATGGAAAGGAAATAGTACTTTTATTGTCATTAATTGTTAATCAGTCTTCGCTTCCCCAACTTCTTATCATAATATGATAAGAATTTCCCTCCCATTCTTGTATTGTCTTGGAGAAGGAGCGAAATGTGAAAGATAAGAAGTTACGAAACTCTTCAATTAATCAACCACGTATCTGATCTTCTGGATGCAATTGCAAAGTTTCACAACCAAACGCTGCAAATACCTGAACCGATGAAGCCAATACCAATATCATTGCTTATCATTATCAGTGATTCCGAATGTAGCAACAGCAAGCTTAAAAGCATAATGTTTGAGGTAAAGTGAGACGAAGAGAAATTTCTTCTGTAATTTTCTACAATGCGATTCTCTTTTTCGACGTAACTCATAATGAACATTGTTTACTGAATTTTATGCCAAATAAATGAATATGCATTTCCAATGTTCAACAATTTTTTGTTAACATTTAAGTTGCAAATTAAATTTTGAAAATTTGTAACGAAAATTTTGAAATCTTTCGGAAAATTTAATTTCAGTTCAACTTATCCAAAAAAAATTTCTCTCTTCTATATTATTAATGACTACTGAATTTCGTAATTAATCCTTCAAAAGTGATGTTGCAAAAATATTGGAGAAGATTTGAAAAGGGCAAAGTTGATTCAATTAGTGTTGAAGGTCATTTCGACGGTCGTCCAATGTAATGTGCGTCAAAGATGATTTTTCGTTTCTGACTGACACTGAATTTTATCACGACACTAAAGGTGATTGAGCTGTTATGTTTAGGGGCTATTTTTGTAATCATTGATAAGTAAGGGTTGGATCTGCTTTTGTGACCAACATCTTTCGGTGTCTAGTACGCAATGTACAAAATATACAAATGCCTGTAAATAAGCCTTTTGAAATGATTGCAGGAAATTTGAATACATAACATCAATTCCATGAATATTAAAATGACATTTTCAGAAATACCGTATTATAATCGATCCTCACATTCCTTCTTTAGTGGAGCACCAAATGCTGAAGTTATTTCACAAAAGAGAAGTCGAAAGAGAACACCCTAACCCCGCATGGAAGTTTTTATTTCGTTTTTCATGAGAAATCTTTGGTATTTGTTTCTAAAGAAATTAAGTTTCACCTCATCCGATAATAGACGTAGTCCAGGTCCATAATATTTCAAGAACTACGTGTAGCGTAGGCGGTGAACGTAGTTGTTTTTGATGGAACGCACAGCTATTCTGATTTAGATTACAGTATTGATAAAGTGCTCCGTATGGACCTACTAATACCCAAATGAGTTACATTCATACTTCTCACCCCATTTACTTAACTGATACCAATTAATAGTCCTTTTACCAACAAGCTACGAATACTTTTATTTTTTTGCAAAGGAAAAGTGAATACAAAACTAAATTTGAACTATCAGAGACACAACCATTAAAAGTTCAATCCAAAACTTTTATGCAGCTAAAGACAACGAATTTCTGCTCAAAAAATTGAGGCATAACACAAACAATTCTGTTCTGCAAACAGGATTTCGAATATATATATATGTGACAATTGCGTATTCTAAATATGTCAATACTATTCACATTTATTTGTTCAGCTTTTGTCTGAGTGCAATCTTGAACAATATTATGAAAAAGACACAAGGATTTTGTAAGTTTGACAAAGACTCAACAATATGTTCGAAAAAAATAATTTGGCACAAGAGATTTAATACGAGAAATCTTGTAAATTAAAATATATTGATCAAAAAAGATTTCCTACATCCAACAATTTAATATACACGAAAACCAAAGCGGACATAACTTCGAATTTCCAGAAATTTAAAAAAAAAGATCAAATACATATTTCTATATAAAATTTAACGTAAGAATTTTTATCAACTTAAATTCTGGAATGAATTTCAAGTGTAACATTTCTTACGCATTTAACTTCTGGACCTTCATATCCATCAGGAAACAAGTTGCTTAAGATTATCTAAGAGCTGATAAGTATAACCGAATTTCATAACCATATATATTCATTGAAACTATTTCATTTGAGATCCCAGGAACAAGTCTCACAGTTCCATAGTTATCTATTTTCTCTATAAATATTCCAGATTAAAAAATTCCAAACATCGTATATATGGATCCCATTCAGATATCATAGTCTAAATTACATCGTTAAAAGCAGTGAGGTAGATTGCGAAAATATTTTGTTCATTCGTGTCACAAGTAAAGAGAAGACTGAGACACTAATAAAAAAGTGATAAATTCATTCTTGAACGATTTAATATCTGTTATAAGACTGAAAAATAATATTTCTGAATACTTCTGTATTGTATGCATCTTTTTAGCTTGCAAGTAGTTTTTCAACTACTACCTGAGACCGCAATTATGAGCACTTTTCATTTCTGCTTTTTACTGGAAGTTACAGAAAATTCGAAATATTCGTACACTGCAGAACAATGATACTGAGACATAGCGTTACTTCGTAATGTAAAATGGAATTAACAGCAATCAAGCAGCTTACCAATAACATCAACCATAAGTTTAAGTTTATCTTCGCGCAAATAATGCTGGGGCCAGAATTTCTTTGCCAGGATGGTTCCAAGCTCTAAAGCTAATGTGTCACTTACCGTGGCATCATGAAAAGGTGCAGGAATTCCGGAATCATCGTTACTCATTTGAATTTCCTCATCAATTAACGTCTGTTTTATGCTTAACGATGAAAACTGATCTTGATGTGAGGAATTTGATGAACAATAATCATCTGCCTCTTGAAAGCTGTTGTTGGAGCTATTTCCGACTACATTTGAAAGCATCTGTTGTAGTAACAAGTTCAGATAAACGTTCATCGCTGAAGCACTATTGCCATTAGATATACCATTAGTGGTCATTTGTAAGAATTGATTGTAATGTTCGGCCATCTGAACCGAATCACCCGGAAACAATGACCGCACATCAGAAGATTCTTCCTCTACACCTCTGTCATCTTCCTCTTGTTCTATTTTTAAGTCATTATTACAATCCATTATCTGAAACTGTTTAAATTAATAATACAGCAAGCATGAGTGAAGAGTAAAATATAAAGATGAGTGAAGCAATGTACTAACACAATGCAAGCGATAAAGTCGAACTTATAAAATTCTACTCGCCTGATTCCATAATGAAGTAGAATATATGAAATATGCGGAATGACAAAACTTAGTTACTCTGAATATACCAAGAAGGAATCAGATGAATATCAACAGATATTTCTTGAACATCCATTATTTCATTAGAATCGAAATAGAAATAAATTTGCTTGCGTCGAAAAATGGACTTTGAAAGTTAAAAGTTAACGATACCTATAGGCTTTCTAATAAAATTATGCTTTATACCCGATCGTCTTTACACTCTTCTAATTTTACTCTCTGTTGGCACACCTTTTTTCATCGGATATGAAAAGCAGAAAAAATTCCAAACCTGCTGTTTTACTGGCAATAATCCGTTTCCATTGCACAGTTCCTGCTGCTTTTGCCGATTCCAGTAACGTTGAATATATCTAAAACAAAACGGTCGATTAATTTGCATCATTACGATTCGTTTATATAAAATCAGTGAATTCCTATTTTCAACCCACTGGTTACCGAAAATCTTTGTTCTACCTAGGAGCAACCAAGGGTGAATAATTTTGGTACAGCATTAAAATCCTTCTTAGCCTCGCACTGCACCCTCAAAATATCTGTCATCTTATTGCATTCATATAATTTTATTTTGTTATTCAGTTAGAAATCATGTTCGACATGCTATGAAAAGTTGAACAAAAAAGCAGGAAAAATTTAACTACCATACCGTCTTTCAGCAGCATAACTCGTTTTTGTAGACTCACAAACATCATGGTATTGCATTTCGAGATCCCGAGCTTTCTGGATTATCTGAGATGGTGAGACATTACCCTTTTGAGCCAATTCTCGAAGCAGCGTACGTCTTCGTCGCTTCTAAATAAATATCAAAAATTATTTATAATACATGAAACTTGAGCGAGAATACTTGTAAACAATTATGAAATAGTCTCATAGATAAGGATTAAAGAAATACTCAGTTTCATTGGAAAATAAAAAAAAACTAACAAATTCGGCATCGAAATTTGGTTCATGAACGTGTTCGCTAACAATCCTTACGTTCGTATCATTATAATCAGTATGTAAACGTCCTTTACATTTTTTCTTGATACATCTAAACAAACGAAAGAGAAGAAATTACTTTCCGTCACGGTTTAAGAAATTAGATATTACAGTTATGTAATGCTAATGAGCCAAGTGCATTATCTGAATGATTGAACGATTACCGATAAGCTTTCAAATTACGCGCTTGGTCAACTCGAACTTGACGATGCTCATATCCTTTGAAAATGATCAATGGTCGGCCTCTGGCAGTTATATCCAACGAAAATGACGATGTCCCTGCACTAACTGATCCCTTTATGTCTTCACCATCGCTGAAATTGTTTGTAAGACAGTAACAATCAATGAAAACTTCTCAATTTGCAAAATATTTTAAGCAAGAAAGAAACGTCCTTATGAAATTAGCCACTGATGAAATTCAAGTAGTGGTTTGAACCAAACAGCAATACGCCCAACTTGATCAGTGAGGCAAGCAATTCAAAAAGTAGTCAAGGTTAACAAGGCTTAACAAACATGTGTCTGGCTTATAGTAGCTCTCCTGTGAAAATGACATTGCCAAAAGGAAGAACCGTTATTGACCGTTGTGATTTGTCGCTTAAGTACCCAAAACAAAAAAGCTCAAACAGTTCCGCGAATGTTATCGGTTTTCGATATATGACTTGGATAAGGTTAAAAAAAGATCAAATTGTACCTCTCTACAGGATAATTGCGATCCGATAGGTCCGTTGGCATGACTTCCTTGTGACTTTATGTGCAGCTTCAAGTATTTCCAAATTTGGATGGATCTTGAAGTTTTGCAGAGTTATCCGTCTAAGTTATTTATCAGTTTATCTCATAAATAGCTTGATGATAAGAAAAGCGCGAATTTAAGCACTCGAATCATCCACGTTCAAACCCATTATTGCTTATCAGTTAAAATTGACATAACTGAGATGCCGAAATGCTTTTACACTATGTGCAATGTATCGGAAAAAAAGTTAACCGTCAAGCATGTTTTCTTGTAAACAAGACGTTCTCCGTTAATTCTTATAAACTTTTGCACAGTATTTCTCGATACATTCACAATGCTATTAACCCTTGACCTCTCCTGTCGCTTTCTCCTACATTTAGACAGAATAATTACGCTGTTTTTCTGTTCTATTCTATCTACTGTGACAGAACACATTGCGGGTGTGTCTCTCATTCAAAAAAAAAAATCGTTGAGGTTGAACGAATTGGTCTGAACCATGGGGATGGTCAACAGTCATCAATGAAATGATCTGATGGTCAATCGTAGCCTCAACAGGGCATATGATCGTTTGTTTATTCATCACACTATTATAAACATAAAGATAGTTTCTAATTCAAAAATATAATACAGAAGAACTGAGAGAGAACAATATGAAGAGGTGACATCAAATATGCCGGGATCTTTTCCCGGTGTAATTCAAATGTAAGACAAAAAGAGACATACATCATTCCCTGTAATGCAATGAATGAAGGCACTTTTCATGTCACAAATGTATGCAGTGATGAGGTGAGACGTGAGTGTAACTGTGAGTAAACGGATCAGACATACCGGAAATGAACGGACTGTTTGAACAGGCTCGGAATATTTTTGTGACGTCTGGCAACCAACCATCATGGGTAGCTGTATTCTGTGACTCATATTCGGACTCTTTTAAATCAGGTTGGGTCAAAAACAATTTCCATGACACAGCTAACGAATGGCAAAAATGTCACAGTTGTATGAGCTGTGGAGAAACATCTCACCTATCGGATACCTTTGTGTCGCCAAACCGCCAAATCAGATTACGTCACGACGTTAAACAGAAGGTAGTACAGTATTACTACTACTGCTACTGGTGCTGTTGGTGCTGCATTATCGTTATTCATTCTCATACAACATACACAATTATAACTTAAGATTATAGTCTTTCAGAACTTATCAAGTTATAAATAAAGGAAAGGGAGAAGAAGGAAGCAGTGGTGGACGGTTCTGCAACTAGTGGACTTCACTTGTTTAATTTTCCAGTTGTGTACTGCATGCTGGATGAGTGCAAGTAACCATGCAAGCAGGATGAGCCTTAGTATCACGACATCCTACAAATAACGGGTAAACAATAGTGGAGAAGTTGGCGTACTGCTTGCTTGCAATGTTTGAAGTAGAACGGATACGGGAGGAAGCTGTCGAAGGGAGGAAGAGTTGTTTAAGGGTGAGGGGCGCAGTTGTGTCATCGGCAGGTGCCCCCTTCTCCATCCTACCACAGATATGTCCTGACATGAAAAGAGGAAGGGTCAGAGAAAGAAAGGAAGGGATGGAGAACATTTGCGCCCGTAGCAGAGAACAGCAAGGCAAAAGCGTCGTGGTGGATAGTGGTTGGAGCGCATATGTCAATAGCAGTGGTGCACGACAGAAGAAACTATCTATTGGTGAGTGCGCATTTGCCCTACCCGCCGAGTCTGTATCTCTCCCTCTCTCTAGTCACCTGTAACCCTTGGACTTGTCCTGTGTCATATCACATGCAGCATTTGCGCCATTCTTGTCGGCTTCGTTGGAGGGGACGCAGAAGGGTGTCGAGGGAAGGTGACGACAGATAATTGCGCCATTAGCTTGTCGTCATCGTCACTGATGATGCCCGAGTGAACTCCACCATGGACCTTAGCTCACTTCCTGCCGATCTCTGATCACTAATTTAGAAGAAGCCTTCAAAGCGCTAAATCTCCAGGATCAATTGTGCTTCGCTCTCGACCGCCACGCATCACTTTGCACCTTTCCGTTTCGAACATTCATTCTTTCACCACTACACTAAAACTTAAATCCTTAAATTTCAGTGTAGTAGTGAAAATATTCATTGAAGAAAGACAAACGGTTTTCGCGGGATGAAAGATATGTGCGCATTTTGAAATGTATTTCACTCCTACGGTATGTAAAATAATTTTGCATGCGAAACTTCCTCACATGAATAGCATATCCTTGCATTCGTGGCAGGCGACAATTATAAACGTGATGGAATAATAACATTCAGAACAGCAAAAGAGAATCGTTGGTCAAACTCGTTACATGAAGATAAAGCCGTTTCCCATTGCTGAGATTCTCAGTTGGATCAAAATGAATCTTAGTAGGCGTTCCTCTTCTAATTACTTTTTTTTTACTTTTTTGTTGCAAACCAGCATAGATAAAAAGTTCAACTCTTCCAGCATTTAAACTAATTGAGCATGTACAACAAACAATTATTCTGCATCTTGAATTCTATCAGAATCTGAAGTTTAGGAGTCAGGTAATTGCATGTCACGATAAATCCAGCAGGTCCTCAAGTTTTGACTCCTCCATTGTATCCGTCCTACCATTCTCTTCCTCTTCTTCTTCATCTAGTTGACCGCTGGTATTGTATCGATGAACGATCTGTTATAAATTTATATTTATATGATGTCATGATAATTATGTTAAAAGCTTGTAAATTATATCTGGACATTCGGAGTGCGTGAAATCACCTTTAAATCGTGTAACTTACTTCACACGATTTCAGGGATTGGAGTTAAAATAACGCGGATTTGCCGATGAATGCGATATGGCATTTCAAGTTACCGTAGTAATAATGATATCATAGTCATTAAGATTATATAGCATACTTGTTCAAGGTCAATATCAATCGGAAATAATCCATTTGCTTCAGAAATAGCGTCTCGACATTCTGCATGTGTTTCCATTGTGGCTTTCACAAAACTTGACAACTGAAGGCCGATGTCTTGCACTGCAAATGCATACAGCATGATATGTCTAATTACTTTGAATTAATTATCGAAATCGTCACAACTGGTCATTAGTAATCCCGCAAAAAATATTTTTAAAAAATTTTTCACTTTTGTTTATAACCTTGAATAGTCAAATTATAAAGCACTGTCCACTGTCTATTTTGTATGTTTGAAAGTTAGTCCTGTATGAGATAATCTGAGGTTTTAAAATGTGCAAACCATGTTTCTGATCCAATAATTCCAACTTCTCCATAACGTCCTTTCGTAACTTCATGAATTTTTCATAGCTGTTTTGTCGGCAACGCAGCATTAGCCTGAAAAAAAATTCAATTTCTAAAGGCTTCACAAGTTGTGACAGTTTCTATGTGCAGCCTAAAATCGTCGGTGATGTTTTTAGAGGGATTGAAATTTTCTAATCATATCATCTAATCTTTTTTTGATTTCTCGATTATATAAATTCTTACCAAAACTGACAATCCCATTGATAAATATCCATAAGTCCCATGTGAAAAAGTATATAAACCGATGTAAATTTGGGCGAAACGGAAAAGTGAAAGGAAATGGATGAGAGTTATCTCTCGTAATACCAACCTGTATTCATAATTACCCGTTTCAACACGATACAGCGGTTCATCGTAACTAGCTGCCTCTGCTTCTTCATCGTCCATTTCTTTCAACTTTAAGCAAAATGATAAATATTCAAATTTGGCATCCAGATATTTCTTGAGAGTTAGTTTGGTATCTGGAATTGCCTTTTTGACGAATGTGTTCAGGTCACGCACTATTGGATGCAAACTTTTTACCAACCTGAAAACTGAATTACATGGAATTTACAATTAAAAATTGTACTACTCATGTGAGAAATATTATGATTTCAATGAGATTAAAAGAAGTGTTAGATAAGAGAAACATATGCAAATTGTTGCATGAAATTTACTCGAAAAAAAAACATAATGAGTAGAAGTGAGAATTGATAGGTAATAAGTGAATGATCAAAAATCATATATGTAAATTTTGTAGAACCATAAGTCCCATTAACAATGATGTCAATCATGTCACTTGAAGATGATTAATGTGCTATTTAGGATATTTCAATTCATTGTCCACTGCTACATTTTAATGCATCAAAAAGCTTTTCATTCTTCTTCGTCCTTTTTGTTTTTGTTCATAATAACTTCATGATAAATATATTTATAATAAAGTTTGTAATTTTTGTACAGTAACCATTGAGATAAGTAGTCGCTCAATGGAATGCTAATTTATATGCAAATGAAGTGCTTTGTTATCGTTAAAATCAAACAACAATTTCATTTAATCGATCGCAAAATGACAGATTGACAGATTCTAATCTTTTGAATATAAATTTCAAAAGCTAGTAATAAAACGAATGATTGACTTTATAGTATGCTTTTCAAGGACTCGATGTGTATTGCCAAATGTTGATAGTGCTTTATTGATTGTTGTAGAGCTTTCACGTGCTGCTATTTCGCAGAATAAATCACCGAATTCTGCAACAAATTATAAAATGCAACTTTTTCCAAAACTTACTCTGATCTGTCATCTTAGTCGACATGGCTAGGCTTTGTAGATGAAGATTTGGAAAAGGCTCTATCCATGCTTGCTGCAAACACTACAAAATGCAGATGTATCCATGCACAAACGATTTTTTAGGTGACTCACACCGTGCACAAACTGGCCCCACCTTTTACTCCTAAGATTCATCTGTTAGCGTCTAGCGAGCTAGGATGGTGACAGTGAAGTCCTCAGGATATAAGTTTCGTTTATAGTACTCTTTCTTTTAAATGAATGACCTTATAGGGTTAAACGAGCCGAGCTTGGAGTTAGAATTATCCTTCTCCTAGGATGGTTGCCAGGAAGTTAGCGAGCCCATTCTGTCCGCGGATACATTTTGTCTGACCCTTCAGTTGAGCATGGGAGACCCTACCGAAGGCATAAACCACTGCCAGCAGAACCCATCTCATTAGGGCACGCAAGCTCTTCCACACCGCAACAAGCGGCTGTCCGTAGCGAAGTATTTCCCATACATTTGCTAATGTGAGTCTTTTCTGTTTAGACTAATATTACTCTTTCCAAGACAGGTATCCCTTGTTTAAGTTAAACAATCAGGAACCATTAAGAAGTAATGGGAACATAACTGTCACAATTTTGGTGACAAAAATAAAAATCTCCAAATCTATCAGTTCTTCGAAAGAAACGATCCAATGATTCACTTTCCAGCAACATGACAGCAATATGTCAGGGATTAAAAGTAGCCCAGTTAGCTTGAAAATCTGATTTTTTTTCTTCAAATCAATCGCTATGAATAGTTCCTATAATTCAGTTAAGAAAATACAGAAACCTTTTTGAGTTCTGGCAATATGATAGTGAGAATTGAGTAAAGCACTGAGATATTTGATGAGTTTCTTGTACAATTGAGAGCATTGCTCCAAACGATTCAACTTCTGAAGCAGAGGGTCATTGCATAAAATTGCTCGGGATAATCCCAATGCATCAGCGGTTTCGGAAGTTATTGATTCTACCACACGATGTTTCATCTTCTTCAATGCTATACCTAATGTATGTCCCTGGAAACAGATCATTTACGGCTTAACTATCAATAAATAAACCAATTAATTATTTCTAATTACTGCCCTAACTAATTGTTTTTAACTTTACAGAAGTTAAAATAATTGTAAAAAGATGCAGGAAGAAGAAAGTCTGTTATTCCTTATGAATTTTAAAATTATACAACAACAAATTACGACCTTTCTCTAAAAGCTTTCTCCGTTTACTCTCTTGGCTAATTAAATGTTTGAATGAAAATATTCAGCAAAAGTAATGAGTGATTTATGTAATTATAATATTAATAATACGTCTATTATTTCAGCATGAAGGACATTGAATCCAAGCTTAACAGATCCCTCCGTTTCTTGAATCATCTTTGCAACTGCCGTTTTATTTTCCCCTTTTACCGGAATACCGTTAACACTGAAGCAAATAAAAGACGATTTAGATTATATTTTGGCACAATAAGTATAATATATCATAATGTCTAATTGATCTAATCAAGCTTACATGTTATCCATTTCAATATAGATACAATGAAAGGTCTGATAGGAACTTTTTGGAATTGATTCAAATTTTAAATATTTCCGGTAATGTTTGGCACTGTTACTTTTATTTGCACTAGCTGATTAAACGATTTAAAATGAAGCTTTTACCTAACAATTTCGTCACCAGCTTGAATTCGTCCATTTAAAGCCATCGGTGAATTCTCGAAAACCTGCACCACGTAGATACAAGGACAATATGGTGCACCTCCACCGATTGATATACCGATAACACCATTTGTATCCTTCATGACCTCAGCAACATCACCTGTTATCGACATTCCCAATCGATCTTCCTCCATCTGAAATACATTTACTATATCATGTTTTCTAAGAATATCTTAATTATTCAAGAAAAGAAAGATGAAGAAAGATCAGGATCGTCTGATCGAACGACTATGAACTATCAACCCGAGCATTTTACGGATATTTTCTGTAAATATATGAAATTAGATGTATTGATATGAAAAGGGATCAGAAATGATATCAGTAATACTTTACATTCATCCTTCTCTTCTCGTGCGTTGCGCCATCATTTAGCAACCATTTCCCGTAGCATGCAATTCAAAGAAAAGCTTCCCAAATGAAAGTTTAAAACTCACCACCTTGCCCGTACATAAAACTACCAGTTTCTTTTGTTTTTTGAACATTTTCGAATTAAATTAGTCTTAATTGACCAATTCTGCAGAATGCAAAGAATAGTCTTTTCGAAAGTATTTATATAATTAAGGATTCTGCTAATAGGTCACGGGCAATAAAACTTATGCTTAAATAAAAAGACTTCAGTTCGTAGAAATTGCCTTATAAATTTTAACACTATTACAACTAAATGATAACTTTGTTAGGGATGGAAAAAAAAATCTTCTCTGCTGTTCAAACAACAGTAATCGATTGCTAAAATGCCACCATTAGTTATTTAAATTTATATAACTCTCCGGTAAAACAAAATTTTTTATGCGCAAATTTCGAGAGTACTAAAATCTCTTGACAGTAATGATGATTTAGCCTGAAATATTATTGTAAATGAATCCCGGCAATAAGTTTACCAGGCTAACGGAACTATGAATTATCAGGAGGGCAAAAATTAAAAATACTGATTATCCACAATGGAAAAATAGAAAAGGTTGCGAGCTTTAAAGTAAAAAATAAATGATTGTGCATGAGACACTTTATGACAGCGTGTCATAACAACCCCAAAGCTTGGGACTTTAAGGCTTTAAAGGGTTCTTCTCATTGAAAAATCGACACATTTTAAAAGGGTGGAGCTTACTACAATTGTTTTTCTTTCATCATTTCCGTTGTGTATGACTTTACCGTCTGGGACGAGAAATATCAAATTAGCTAAGAGAACGGACTTCTTTATGTGTTGAATATAATCCCGATCATATGAAGCTTCAAATATGAGAAGCATTGCTGCTTGACTGGTAAATGTGGCAAACAATCGATGTATGTATGCATGTGTGTATGTGTGTATGTGTGTGTGTCTGTGTGTGTACGAGAGAGGATGCAAACTCTACATGCTTTACTTCCAAATAGACCTTTAAAAGTGAGATCAGCATGAAATGGAAATAGCATACTCATTTGATAGGCTTGGCAGTGAAAGGCAGTATCTCCATAGATGGATTTCACTTATGTTTTCCAATGATTTATATTCAACAATCTCTCACTACCAACATCTGTGCCTATCGCCATGCATTTTTTTTCCAGCTACATCTTTCAACTTATCTATATTTTCAATTCCATTACGATATGACTGCCGCTGTAACGTCTACATTGGTTATTAATTGAGAGTACATAATCTAAGTTTGGTCGAATTGGCTTTTTTCCATCATTTGCTTCGTTTTCGAAGTTATTTACTTCTGTCTATAAGTTAATTGTAATTAGTTAATGTACTTCATGCTTTTTCGGACGAATTTATTTAGAAATATAAAACCATTCCATTACAAAGCATACAGAGGTCACCAACTCTCCATTACAACTTGAGCAATACTTGTTGCTACAAAACTTCCTGAGGAAATGCTAAAGATAAAATATTAAAGAATTAAATCAAGCAAACAAGCCAACGATCAAGAGAAAATTAATCTTCTATTTAATGTTCTGTATCAAGCCTCAAACTACGACTCCTGAAATTTGTAAGGTATCCCAGGTAACAGTAAACTGAATTGAAAGTATCCACCACTCTACGGGGAATCAGTTACAACGCCCATCCCACACATGTCTTAAATTCAGTTGACTAACTAGCAAAATTCAAAATTCTAGAAAGATGAATTTATTCAGGACCTCCAGTAGCTTTCCGATCAGCAGAACATACCTCGACAATACGCAACGCTGGATAATATACATAAAAATTGAGGTCAGTACGAGCAAATGACCCTGGATTAACGAAAAGAGTGCCTTCTAATTGGTAATGGAAATGTTCGAATTTGTCCGCGATGACAACAAGATCCGGTAATGGGTACAATGTAAGGTAGCTATCCATTTGCCAAATAACAGGTGATATATGCAGCGGTAGTGGCGATAAGTGACCAACCGAAGCGACTGTATGACAGAACTGTAATATAGTCATTTTCTAAGTGATGTAACTGAATCCACGGCTTCCGTCCCAACCATATCAAAAAACAGTTTAGCAAGAACTGACGCATTAGTTGATTCTTTGAAAAAAAAATCACGTCTAAAAATATTGTGGGAAATCTTTCGACTTATAACGACGAATGGTTAAAGATTAGTTATTTTCCTAGACATCAACTTGACAGATATGTGATTTTGCTAAGAATATAACGTTGATATACACCAAACTGATATGACTATATCTACATTTGTTCTAATACAAAAGGAAATAAGAATCCGGAAAGGAACCAAAATATCAAGAAGGATCGTGAAACCCTTAAGACAATGAAACATTATTTTTTATTTGCTCTAGAGTGAAGACATTGAAATAAGGGAAAAACTTCACGTGTTCTGGAATGTCCGCAGTGGTCGACGGCATATGAATACTATTTCTGCACATTTTTTCGACCAAATCATGACGCATGATGACAATTTCTTGATTGGTGTATTGTATACGGCATGGGTTTGATGCAAACGAACAATTAGGTACATCTTTCATCAGTTCAAAAAGTTCAAATGGTAACGGTGGCCTGCAAACAGGAGCTTAAACTGAAAACAAAATATGCTGAACTACAACAACGAGTAATAGTTCGAATGTAATTTAGAAATTTGATATAGAGGAATCAAACACCCCAATCAATTCGTTAAAATTGGTAAGCAGTCATCTAATGCTTGACTAAAACTCAGTGAAACATGCAAACGACGTTGATTCGA